TTAAAATTAGTTAATTAGGAAGGTTTTGATCATTTTGATCCAAACTTATTCTAAACTTCATGGAATTACTCCCAAAGGTCAGGGATGACTCATGAGAGTGTTTTTAAGTGTTTGGAAATTATTTGGGATTTTTAGTAATTTTTAATTAATTAAATTAATTAATTATTAACTTTAACTAAAAGTTAAATTACAGTCAAATAAGAGGTCTGATGATATGAATTTTTTTCCTAGATAGAGGGATAAGTTTTGGTCAATTTGATATATTGAATTAATTTTTTTGGATTATAATTTGATTTATTGTGATTTTTTTTTTAATTTTTTTGAGTCCTTAAAGGGGCTGAAATTTGGGTCAATATTCTAACCTAATGATCTTCAAATTCAATGAAATTTGAACTTATAGGAAAAAATGTCATTAACTTTACTGTGATGAAGTTTCACCCCTATTGTGTGAGTTTATAATTTCCTAGGATTTTTTTGAATTTTCTACACCTTTTCCTAATTATTTTCCCTAGGTGTCCCTACTATTTAAATGGGTTCCACTTTTTGTCCATCTAACCCTTACATTAATGCATACACACCACATAAATTTCAAATCATAATACTAAACATCTAGAGAGTTATGAATTTTTAAAATTTTAGTCCAAAATAGACCCCTTACTTTGAAAATTCACATCATAGAAATCTACTAGCTATATTACCCTAGAAAAATCATAGAACATGCCTATGATACTCAAAAATCTTTCACCAAATCTGGGCTCTAAGTGAACACTAGATTGTGAGAAAATTAGAAAAAAACTAAATTCAAATAAATTGGAATATCTCACAATGCAGTGCCCAAATCAACTTAATTTTAATTTTAATAAATACTACATTAAATTCCCTTTCCAACGAGCCCGGATATCCAATTTGGTGAAAAATTCAATTTACTATGAATTTTAGAAGATTTTGGGCATTTAAAAATTTTTTATTCAAATTTGGGTAAAATCAGCCATCGGTCGAATCATTGGTTGATAGCGGCACGGCACTGCAGCACGGTGCCACGTGTCTAATCTGAGATGGGTCACTTAACTACGTCGGATCTGACAATCCGATGGATAGATCAAAAAGAAGGGAGATCGACAACTAAGAGGCTGCCACTTCACCCCCTGATAATAGGAGGACCCACGTTCGAATGGAAGTGAGACCACTTGGTTAAAGACTCGGTGGCATAGCCAATTCGTGGCCGTTCGACCGCGAGTAAAGATAGTTAAAAAAAAATTCAAATGCCTATATCTTTCAAAATACTCGATGAAATCCAACAAAATTTGAAACATAGCTTGAAGGAAACTTGATCTTGCAGTCCCTGGAGTTTACAGGCTCCATGCATTGTAGATTTACTATAATTTCAAATTTAATTTATCCCTAAATCCCTTGATTTTGAATGGATGGCTTAGATTCAATTGAGGGAGCCTTGGATGCATGACATGTGTCGCCTAAGCTGCCCAAAGTCAGGGAATTGGGTTGGTGATGAGTGTGATCTCTTAGTTTATGGGAAAGGGGACCATACCTTTTCCCCTATTTGGATGAACCAAGCAAAAGCTTAGACTAAGGGGCTGGCTTAAGGGTCAATTAAGAGAGAAAATAGGTCACTTTCCATCTAGTTTGAGCAAGTTTTGGACGAAGCCATGGATTGCCAAGGTGGCTTATTGATGTGGTCATGATTTGGTCTCATTTTAAGAGTTTGTTGACCCATTGACTTGTTGACCAGTCAATGGTGACTAGGATATTCATGGAGGGAGTCAAGGGTTTTGTAGGAGTTAATCCTAAGGGGTTTGGAATCATGGGGTTGAAACTTTGAGCCAATACATGAAGTTGGGAGAGGGTTTTAACCCCTCCAAATGGTTTGGCCAAGTCAAACCTAGGGAGAATTGACTTGAAAGTCCTTGGATATGTCATGGGTCTCAAATTGAATGATTTTGAGGGGTTGATTGGGTTTGGAATGGATTCAAATATTAGATTTGACCATAGGTTGAGTTAAGGGTTAATTTGGTCAACTATGATTTGACTTGGTCAATCTAGTCAAACCTTGGGTCAAATTTGGGTCAATAAGTTCAAATAAAATTGAAGTGATTCAATGCATTGGGTAGGTCATTTGGGTTGAAATTGACATATGAATCCTTAATGGGCATTTAGGTCAACCTTGGTTGACTTGGTCAATCAGGTCAAACCAAGAGTTGATTTTGGGTCAAATATGTTCCTAATGGTGTTTAGGATCCATCGGGATAAGTTTGAGGGTTGAGGTAAGAAGGTTGGATTGAACTTAGGGGAAAAGACAAAAAACCCCTTTAAATGACATTTTGGTCATTTTGACCCCTTAGTCAATTTTGGGTCAAATTAAATAAAAAAGATGTAGATTGTTGATCAATAGGTCCTAATGAAGGTCTTGAAATTGATTGGAAGGTTTGAAAAGGGCTGCAAGGCCATGATCCACAAGATGGAAAGTCTAATGGCATCGGTTATAAATAATTGAAGGTTTTGTAGCCATTGGGAAAAGATTCAATTTAAGGGGATATGAATGTTGGGTTGAATACAAATTTGAATGGTTGGCCTTATAGACATGCCTAAACAAAATGCCATTGATAGACCCATAATAAGAAGCCATTAGATTAGGTTTCATAAGGTTTGAAAATTCCCTTGGAAAGGGTTTCTGGACCTTAGTCCTTAGCCCTTGGATTTGGTTTGAAACCTTATAATTGGATTGAGTTTTGGATTTTGATGATTAGGGGTGGCACATCCATACTACTAACAATCAAAGAGGTGATTGTTAATGGTTGGATGAGATTCAGAAGTTGATTGAAAGTTAATTAAGAATTGATTAAAGGTTGATTGGTGGTTGATCCAAGAATTGGATTGGAAGGTGGGATTGAGTTTGATTGAGGTTGGTTTGGGTCTTATCCAGGACCTATGTGATCAGGGAGTAGGGAATTTCCAGTCACTGGGTCACTGTAAAGAAACCCAAGTGGGTCTTAGTGACTTCTTATAAAAATGAGGTGAACAGAAACTAAGGCTTTATTTGGGATGACTTTCTTTCTGCTTCTTAAAGCAGCTTCATGGTACAAAAATTTTTTGTACCATAAAGCTTCTTTAAGAAGAAATAAGAAAGCCGTCCCAAATGAAGTCTAAATTAGTGTCAATGGTAAGGGGTGAAGGGAAAAATAATTGACAATATTTACAAAAAAATAAATGCCAAATGTGCTAAAAAATTAAAGAAATATGTGGTATCTAATGCTAACAGATAAAACCATCTTCTCTCCATTCCTTAAATTTAAATCTTGGACTCAATCAAGTCATCAATTTGAGTCATATAGCTAGATTTGATTACCTGACATTGAACATCTAGGAAGCTTCACTTTGTCATGGATATTCGATTAAAATATATTCTTAGTAAGCTCCTCCAGCATGAGCTTTTTGTTTCTAAATGAGCAAAATATATTTCAAGTGAAACATAAAAGCAATAAGGGAACACCTCACTAAAGATACCATAAATCAGCAATAGAAAATAGACGAGGAAGAGCCCAGAGATTCAGATCATGTTGCAAGATGTAAGGCCCTCCAAAGCCAAAGACACCATCCATAAACATACTTGGAAGATGAAAACACTTCCAAACAGGAAACAACAACACTCGCCAAGGAAAACGAGCCACAACAAACCAAGCCCGAATGTTCACCAAAATGAAAAGGAACATGAAATAGGCCGTAGCTATAACTTAAATCGATGTATTTCAATTATGGTGAATACTTTTGAATACCATCAAATTATAATCAGCACACTTAAATACGTTAAGCTAGCAAAATATCAATTTTCAATTTTCTTGCCATTCGAAGAACTAAAATATTGATAAATAAATTATCTTGAATAAAGAAGATTTTCAAATAACATAATTAGTTTACGCCTTGCAAAGTCTATGAAAATACAATCATTTTATTATCAATTTTATCATCCTCATCTACGCTCTCTAATCAATCATGGTACTTGTATCCATATCACTTCCCCTCTCTTCTCAGCTCATCTTCTCATCTCCAAAAGTTACTACTTATGAAGTTAAAGCTCTAGCGCCGACACTTTATCTAAGATATAACCTTGTTGTGCGTCTTTTTTCTCTAATTCATCCTTAACATTTGAAGTATTAGTTCTCTTCTTTTAATCAAAAGAAACAATTCTACCAAGCTCTTCAAGGGAATGTGCTCTGTAAGACAATGCCCAAATGGTGGGACTTTCTCTGAGAGTGTGAGGAGCTACATCATGATGTTTCGATGTTCAAATGTCTACATTAGCATCCAACTCAGCTTTAAGAAGACTGCTTACATCAAAGTTCTATTATTGTAGAGGTAGAGTTTACTATGATCAGCTAATAAATATTGCATAAATTAATAAAGAAATTAGTCTAAATTTTATTTTGATTTCATATGCTTTAGTCCCAAAATTCTATTTTTTATACTTAAACGAAAATCATAATTTCTCTCATATAATCTTTTCTTTACTGATACCAATTTGATTTTCTCATACATATCACCTTTAACCTCATAATCATACAAAAAAACTCATACAGAATATCTGATTAAATCAGAATTTTGTTAAATGTTGTCTTTTTAATTATATTTAAATTAAACTTTGACTCTTAATATGACACAATAGGGTACATAATTTGTTTATTGAAAAAAATTAAATAGTTATATAGCCAATCCCACACAGTGGAATAAGAATAAATTCTTATAATTTATTCTTAAATTTATATAATTAATCATACAACATTCGAGTTCTTAAAATATAATTTTATGCTTTATTTTAAGATCATTTAATTTCTATAACATTTTACAAATAAATATATAATTTAAGAATAAAATATGTTAATATAGCTAAAATAACATGATATAATTTAAGAATCAAATTTGTATAACATATCCAAAATTTTCAGTGATTAAGATACAAAATTTAACACTCCCTGTAATTCAAAAAATATATATTTAAAATAGATTTTATTAAAAAATAATTATAAAAACAAAACAGAAAGATTCATTAAGCCAAAATATGAAGTAATTAATCAATCCTCCAAAATTTCCTCATAATTGGTTGAGATGCGGACCTCCAAAAGATCTTCATGATTGGTTGAGACATAAACATTGCCAGGTTGGTCAGAAGAAGGAACAAATGGTGTTGGGGGCATCTCCAAGCTCTGAAAGTTTGATGTGAGCATTTGAACAACTTTGCTCATTGATGGACGTTCTGATGGATTCCACTGTATGCACCAAAGTGCTATTATGGCAAGCCTTTTCATAATTTCTTCATTGCCCTCCATTTCCATGGCTATACCCAAGCTATTGTTATTGATCAGCTTGTTATATATCCACTCTGGAAAATAAATTTCACTTAGGTTCTCAATTGTAGGATCAACATTTTTCCTCCTTCCGATCATTTCTAGCAGAAGCATTCCATAACTATATACATCAGACTTATGAGAGACAAGCCCAAAGTTTCTAGAGTAGACTTCTGGTGCTATATATCCCATAGTGCCTCTTGCAGCACTTATTGTCACAATGCTTTGATCTCTGGAGCAGAGCTTAGCAAGGCCAAAATCTGAAATTTTTGGATTGAAGTCATAATCTAACAAAATATTATGGGGTTTGATGTCAAAGTGAAGAATTCTTTGATTGCATCCTTGGTGCAAATAATTGATCCCTTGGGCAATGCCAATTGCAATCTCCTGCAACTTCTCCATGTTGAAATATTCATGTCTCTTCTTTGATTTACCAAAGAAAATAAATTTTTCCAATGAGTTATTTGGCATGAACTCATATACTAGGGCTCTGTTAGTTCCATCTGAGCAGAAACCTAAGAGACGAACTACATTGACATGGTGAATTTTTCCTATAGTGGCTACTTCGTTGACAAAATTATCGCCATTGGATTTAGATGCTTCTAGCAATTTAACTGCCACAGGAATTCCATTAGTCAGCTCACCTTTGTAGACACTTCCAAATCCTCCTTGACCTAGCTTATGCTTAAATTTCTTTGTTATTTTCTTAATATTAGAGAAATTGTATCGAGTTAGTGTTGTGGATTTGTAGGTTGCAAGGAACTTTTCCACCTTTATGCGCTTCTGTTTTTCATTGATATATTTTTTGAAAAAGTATAGAACCACAAGAACTGCAATCAGAAAAACCACAAGAGATGTACCAATGGCAACGCCTGCAAGAAAGAAAATTTTAACATTCACTAATGCAACTTTTTTGTTTATAGGCACCACTATCGATAAATTTCACCAAATTTCATGCAATGAACTCTTTTAAAAGAATTTCATGTGGGAGGTCCGGGGAAAACTAAAAATAAATGGTGAGATTGCTCCAATACCTTTACCAACAAGATGTGAACCTGAGAAAAAACATATATGGAAAAAAAATTAGTTTGTTAAGCCACAATTAATAAAAGTTAGTATAAATTTGAAGATACAGTAATAAAACATGCTTGAAACTTCGTTTTCTTTGTTATGACAGAATATAACATTTTGTCAGAAATGAAAAGATGCAGAAAGAAGCATCAGATAGATAGAAACTCACCATGAGAATCTTCGGGAAAACAAAATTTTTTATCCCTTATGATATTATATCCACAATTTTTCCCTTCATATGAACATAAATAACAAGCCTGAATATTCTCATCTGTATTCGGATACAAAGCAGCCCTTTGTCCTTGCACGCTCTTCTGCGCTATAGTTTGTATCGGTTGACCAGTATAATCAGAAAGAACTTCACCGGTATATATTACGATGCATGAACGAGGAAGTATGTCAATTCTCTCATATTCACCCAGAGCATAAACAAACGAACCTTGTTCACTGAGGCAAGAAATTGGCCCAACTACGTCATGATTGTCAGCCTGCAAGCTTAGCTTGGTTGTGCAGTTAACTAGAACAAAACGGGACACAGCGACATCGAAAATAGAGGAGTTGACGTTAGGCCGTTTTTGAATGCCTCTTCTCCATGGGCAACTAATCGAAGATGTTGATGGAAGAACTTCAATAATGATCCCATTAAAAATGTCAATAGATGTTACTCTGTAAGATTCTGAAGAGGGGAGGGTGATAATTGTCTCGTTGGTGGAGGAGCAGGACAGATTCGCACTCACTCCTGCTGTCCTGCAACTATTGGAGCTGCTTTCAAGAGTAAAAGGGAATTTGATCTCCATATCTCCACACATGGAGGAAGGGCAGTCATTGGAGAAAGCATAGGCTATTGGGAAGATCCCAAGCAAGAGAAGATGGAACCAACGCATTGCGAAAAGGGTGAATTGGGAACAGCAGCAAAGCCCTTTACAAATGAAGTTTTTAAACAGCATTTAATTTAATACATTAATTTCAGCTTCTGAATTTGACTATTCCACCGAAAAAACTTTACTGGCCAATTGGGTTAAGCAAAAGATTTTTCACCGCGTTTATGGACAAGGGTAGTTGTTTTTGAAAAGTCCAGCTTATTAGGATAATGGAAATAACGACTAGCAAGACTTGGACCCAATTAATGGTCACCAAGTCAAGTCAATTGAAGAAAATGAACAGTACTGATCAATTGTGTTGAGCAAAAGACTTTTCACCGCGTTTATGGACGAGTGTAAACTTTGAAGAAGATGATAATGACCATGAACAATTTTGTGTGGCGAATAAGAAAGGAGTTATTTGAGATGGTTTGGAATTCCAAGTTTTGGGAAGTCCAGCTTATTAGGGCAATGGAAGTAACGAATACAATGGCATAGCCCCATCTAAAAAGGGTCCCCAAGTCGAAGTCAATTGATGAAAAGAACGTTAACTTTCCTATTTCAACAAAATAAAATCACCTAAGAAATAAAGAGGCGACTGATGGTTAATTGTACATATTTACTCATATTTACAGCTTTTTTGTATAGTAGTTTCTTTGTTTGCTTCAGATCTTATCTTCAATATAACACATAGGTTTATCTTTTGCCTATAACTTATTTGTTCAGCTCTCCTATCTCTGTCAAATAACCGGCATTTTAGGTGTATTGTGCATCTTGTAGTAATTATTTTTGTTTTACTATATTCAATAATCACTAAAAAGATTTTGTGTTCATTCTTTTCTTGGACCAGTGAATGCATCTCTACTATGACCTTTGAGTTTATTTTGAATTCATAACGGCCTATTCTAGGAGAAATTGCTTTTTTGAAAATTCAAATTGAAATGTTTTGCCATCATCAAAAAGGGGGAGATTGTTACAGATCTATGGTTTATGATTTTGATGATAGCAAACATTCCTTATTTCTCTATGATTGCCTTATGTGCTAACGTTTCAGGTCCACACGATCAGACTGCAATCTGGAACCAGCTCAAGATTGGGTAGACTAGGTCTGTGTCAGTTTGTAATCTTTTTCCTTTCTTGAGTCTGTTGTATTTGGTGTGGCTATAACTTGGTAGAAATTCTCTTGCTCCCTATATGATTTCTGTTTTTGGTAACATCGGCCAGGACGATCGTAAGATCGGCCTGGATGATCTGTCCAAAATCAGAAACCCTAGTTAGGGCATCCTCATTAAGGCAGCCGTCAACAGATCGGCCTGGACGATACTTGTATCGGCCAGGACGATAATCTCAATTCAGAAAGAATCAACCGCCATAATCAGTTTAGGAAGTCTTTGTTTTAGGAAATCGGCCCGGACGATATTATTATCGTCCAGGACGATCTAACTCAATCATGCCTAAATTGATCTGGTATCTTTGGAAAGCATTAATGGTTGATTGATACGATCACATCGTCTGGGACGATCGTATGATCGGCCAGGACGATGGCCTGGACGATCTATATCGGCCAGCTCAAAAATAGGGCGATGATCAGGATGATTGAAATCGGTTTTAAACTAATCGGCCAGGACGATCGTAAGATCGGCCAGGACGATGTAACCAATTTTCTTCTGATCGTTCCATATCGTCCCGGGCTAATGAGCTTAATTTGTACTGATCGGCCAGGACGATATACCTATCGTCCTGGACGATAATGTCGGCAACTTGTATTAATGAGCTCGTTTTGAGAGCTTCTATTTAAGCTATGGCAAGGCACTTTGTAAGTGTCTTTGGCAGCCATTGTAGCTTCGTTCTTGTGGGGGAAACTAGAAGAGAGAGCTTGAAAGGGAGAGAGGAAAGGATGGAGTTTGAGAGAGGGAGAAGATCCTGTGAGAGGGGACTCAAGGGAGTGTGGAGGGGGTTCCACACGGTTGCTCCGGCGAACTCGCACCTTAGTACCATCGGATTCAAGGCTTGTCTCGAGGTAAGTTCACCAAAGAAGAAGATCTCTTTGGTGTCAAAGGACCCGGCGACTCCGCCGCACCGGGGAAGGTGGAAGTGATTTTGTAAGGGCTTCTCCGCCTAGCCGTGGGGGCAAAAGGAGAGACACTAGTTTAGTGCAATACTTGGGGGGTGCCTCCAAGGAGTGGACGTAGGTCAAGGTTTGACCGAACCACTATAAATCCGGTGTGTTCTTTCTTTTTACTACTTCTGTGTTTTAATTTCCGCATTTATTATTGTGGTGATTTGGATTGTGTATTGGTTTTAAAGTTTTCCAATTCACCTCTCTCTTTAATTAGCTTGGGACTAAGTTCAAGAGGGCCTAACATCCCTAACGAACTTTCACCCACTAAACCCCAAAACCCTTAAGGGAAAATCAAAATTTTTCTTAAACTTCAACGTGGCCCAATCAAACTAAGCCATTAAACATATTCCAATGCATTCTAATTACCATTTAAGATGTGTTGAATATAGACTAAAGTCTTGATTTGACCTAGTTGATAAAGTCAACCTAGTTGACCAAAAAGCCCCTTAAGGGCCCAACCATACATTTCAAAATAAAAGGCCCCACGATTGCATGAGACCGCCTTCATTAGATTCAAAATATCATTTTGAACTTGTTGGACCTAACCCTAACCCTTGGTCCACCCTAGTTAAACAAATCAACCATACATGTTATGGTATGCTAAGGATTGCTATGAAATGAATTTTCTAGGTGATTTATCTATTTTGGACCCATAACTTTGAAAATTCATAATTTACCAAATAGGTAGGGGTTTTTCTTCATTTTTTGTGGTGTGCTTGTGTATGTATAAGGGTTAGCTAGAACTACTTTCAAGCCCATTAGAACACTAGTGACACCTAAGAAAAATAATTGAGGGATTTATCTAAAGAACTTAGAGAAATCATAATAAATTCTACACACATCAATAGGGCCAAAACTTTGAAATAATGAACTTAGTGACTTCCTAAACCAATGGTTTTAATTTCACTCAAGTTTGACTTCATTTGACAACAAAATTAAGCAAAATAAAATTCAACCCATTTATAGGGCCTAAAACTTAAAGAAAAAGTAATAAATCCAAATTAAATTAGAAAAATACAAACAAAGGTACAAAACGTTCATAGTTGAATACTCTATCTAAGAAATATAAAAGCCCATCACTAGTCTTTAAAATTGATTAAACTTAATAATTAATTAAAATAAATAATTAAAAATAATTAAATACCAAATAAATTATGAATAATTAAAATCATCCTTAGAAGTCATTCTTGACATTCGGGAAAGGTTTCAAGTGATTTAAAATCAGTTTGGTACAAAAGTAAGAAAATCCCCCTAATTTAGTATTTAAATAATTCAATTAAATGTATAAATTTAAAAAAGTAATAACTAATTATAAAAAAATAAAAGGTATTAGACTTTTGCATGGTTCTAATATTTATTAAAAATACCAAATCACAATAATTCATTAAAAATAATAAAGTCAATATTTTGGTCAACCTAAGTTCACTAAAATATCTAAACTTTGAAAATTAGTAACTACTTTTTAAAAAATTAAATCCACCAAACTTAGTGGCATTTCACTCATCTCAGGGCCTAATATTTATAAAAAAATATTAAAACTCCAAAACTTAATTTAAATCCAAAAGTCAGGAAATTGATATTTTATTTAATACATTAAAATATTAAATTAAATACAAAAAATCAATAAATAACTAAATTTTTAGTAAATCATCAATCTAATTAATTTAATCAGGTTATAACTTTAAAATGTGCAACCAACAATCCATTAATAAAGTTTTTAGGTCGGTCTGCCTCGGGCTATGGAATTATGTGTCTTAAAGAGATCTTTGGTCCATATACATGTTGTGATAATGCCCCAAATATATTTGATGAAATGCAAACCATAAGTCATAAGCTTAATAAACCTAAAGATAATTAATCAATAAATTAAATCAAAAATAATTCCAAACATAACTGTTGGGTAACCCAAGCATATGAGGCTATTAAGTTAGCCCCAATAAGGGTGAAATAAATCTTATGGCCCTAGTGTGAATAAAAGTAGTTATTACTCAACCTAAATAATTAACCATAAATAACTAATTAGTGGAATCCTCCATACAATATGTAGATTCCTTTTTTTGGAGAGCACAAGTGTATTAATTAATTTTTGAGGCTTAATGATTAAAACACTTTATTAAAATTTTGGACTTTTGAGAACCAATAATTAGTCAACTTTAACATTTAAAACTCATCCTAAAATGAACACTAAAATATCAAACTTAAACTTAAACTAAATCTTCCCTTAACCTACAACATACCAAAGAAAATATTAGAAAACTCCAAAAAATAACCCATTTAGGATACATCCAAACCACATTCTCATACACACACTTTAGATGGCTTATTAGAACAACATACACTAGTTCTAGGCTAAGCTACTATTCCCTTTAGCTTTGCGTGACATAGTTTTACACGAATTTGATTGTGTGCTGGTTGCCATGAGTTGATATGTTCTGTGATGCTTATTGATGTGATATTTTTGCTATATTACTTATTATTTGATGTAATGGTTGCTAGATTTCTCCTAGGTTATACTCGATCTGGATTCTAACAAAGTTTTTTATAGGTAACCATGCTTATGTAAGGCCAAAAGTGGGGGCTAATTAAAATGCAATTAATAAAATTTCTACATGTTCTAAAATTGATAAGCCCCCTTGAACAAATTTAAAAGCATGGCCAAGTGAATGCCTTAGCTCAAATGTGGGCTATGAAATTTCTATAAGTGCGTGTAATATTTTCATGATTTCATATTTTTAACTGCTTAGGGAAATGTTCACGTTGTATTAGAGTCATTTTAAAATTTTCAATTGTAATTTTAAATTTAAAAGAGTTGTGAAAGTTAATTTAAAATGGGATATTAATATCTAATTTGGAATCCAAAGAACAAGGAAACACCCTTTCGAGGAGGAGGTCCTTCTATTTGGATAACTAAATTAGGATGACTTGAAAT